CCTTGCTGGAGAAGCAATACCAGCAGCTCCCCGATACCATGCCACGCACACATAGCATAAGACTTGATTTTGTCGAGTTGCAAAGGTGTCTTTGATGAAGTATAATTCCCCCAGGCAAAGGAGCTTTGTGCTGTAAACCCCGGTCAGAGCTGATACCATCCTTGCCTTTTCCCTCTGTTCAGTCTTTTCTTCCAGGCATGAGAATTAAGAATCACCTGTGGTGTGTCCATTCGTCCTTACAGTAATTTCCTAAGTTTGCAAGAGACATGGAGTGGTTTTTAGAGAATTTTTTAGCAGGAAGAAAGTTGTGAGGTTTTGGGGGATGGGCAGTTGACAGACTAGAGCCAGACCCTTGTCAGTGATAGGACATTCCCAGTGCTTAGGTGTGGAAAGGGGGACTGCTAATGCTGGCACAGCACTGAAATGCTGATACTGATGTGGGAGAAGGGGAGCCTGGTATATGACTGGCAGTAACCCAAGTCTTGGATCATCATTCCTGAAGATTAGTGTCCATGGGGGAGGGGATGGCAGGGAAGAAGGGGTTCTGGGAATAAAGAGCCAAGCATGTGAGTCCAGGGGAGGGGGCCCCACAGAGCTGGCCTGACCCTTCTCTCTTGGTCCCAGTTGGTTGCAACACCAAGAGCTTTGCTCTGTGCTGCTTTGCTACTACTGCTTGCTGTCTTGCCTGCTGCCCTCTATAATTCCCGGTCCCTCCATGTCTTTTTTGGTAATGTAGATTAAATCCAGGCCTCATGCCCATTCTTACCTGTGTTCTGCCAGTGTTATTTTATGGCACAGTCATGTCAAATAGGGATGGTAGGAAATGCTGCTGGTGGACTGGTGAATCCAAAGGGATATGGCTTCAGTGCTGTCAGGAGTCCTGTGGCTCCAAAGATTTCACTGTCTTGAAGGATCAAGTAGGTCTTAATGAGTGGGTGTTTTCTGTTATATTTACTTCTTTCCTTTGTGGTATCTTGTGTGCTGTTTTAATAACTGAATGAGGGGGCATCACAGCGCCTGTGCCAGTCTTCTAGTGAGGTTCATCTAGCTCTAGTTGTGGATTTTTGGGGTAGGAGAGGGTTTGAAGTTTGACTGAATAGCCCCTTTGGTGGGGTTTAGTTCTGTTGTTACCAGAGGGCATCATAGGTGATTGTAGTGGGGTGCGCAGGATGTTGGTGGTGTGCTTGAAACTTGCCACAAGCAGGCATCCAGAAGAGTTGAATGATCACACTGGAGCTGAAGGCTGGACATGGAGTGACTGGGAAAGGACCTGGGTCCGTTGGAATAAAGATAACCTGACTAACTGAATTGGCCATGGGAGATTAGGTCAGCAAATAGGACAGAGGCTAAGTTCCAGGGAGATAGCTTAGCCTTCTAGGGCTAAGTTTATTAAACCACACTGAAGCTACAATACCTTCCAGATGGGGAAAAATATACACTACAGTTGGAGACCTGAACCGTACTAGGTTGGATGTCAATCAGGAATCTATTAAATAGCTCTTTGCTGGGAAGACTTCACCTTCCAGCTTCCCCGGGGTAGGGAAGGTCTCCCACATTATGCAATAATAAAATAAGCATCTGGGTCTCTGCAGCTGTCAGTTGCTCTTTCAACTCTGATCCATCTTTGGGCCAGAAGCCTGGTCTGGGCTAAGAGGACACTGGCCTCGGGATGCTCAAGTTGGCTGCACTCTCCTTTCCTGCAGACTATGCACAGTGCCTGGGGCGGAAGGAGGAGAAGTGGTGCAGTTTGCTCTGCTGAGCCTCCCCAGCAGGAACAGTAGTAATAAATGCACTTTTCACACTAAGGTTTCTCTATTAGTTCTCCTGTTAAGCCTAGATCCTCCCCTGGTAGATTGCAAACTCAAAGTCTGTGTGATCCCATAGCCATTGTACTGCAGGTGCCCAGCAGTGACAGTGGCCTCAGACTGGGCTCCTGTCTGCAGTGTATGTGGCAGCAGCCCATGTGCCTTTACCTGTTGTCAAACTTGCAAGCATTTATCTGTCTTTATGACTGTCATGGGGACTGAGGTTCTTCAGAGAGAAAGAGCGCACTGATGACACGGTGGTTTTACACCTACCCCCTGGACAGGGAGTTTGCACGTAGTTGTGAGCTGTGAGTGGTTAGTGCACTGCTGGTGTCGCTGAAGGCAGGGTTGATCTCTCACTTGCTTGATAGTCACAGTCAAGAGAATCTAGATTGTATTGGGGAAGAGACCGGCTGTACTCATGGCTAACTTGAAGTATTAAAATAAGGCTGTCCCTACAACCTTCCTAGTCATACAGGATCCCTGTAGCCAAAACAGTATATGTTCCAGCTGCAGAGAGTTGACTGCTCTCAGCTTGCACAGCACCTTAGGGGAGGGAAGACTATATGGATAGGGAATGGGGTGGAGAAAGAAGGATGCGAATGTTGTCATCTAGGTGGCTTTAGGGTCCTAAGGAGTTGAGAAGGACGGCACTGGGGAGGTCTGGATGGATCTGTGTAGGAGTTTCCTGTAGATAAATTTCTGATCCCCCAACTACTATCCCCAGTATGTAATGGCTGAATTAATATGTAATCAACTGCATTGTATCTAAAGCCTTAGAACTAGTCAGGTGCTCCCCCCACCCAATACCATTTCTTACCCTCTAATCCTACCTGATCTTTAACAAAGCATTAATAATTCTAAGGATAATCTCTATTTTGTTGTGCTTTTTTGTAACTGTTTTAAATAAATCAATTTGTACTGTATATTTGTACTTTTGTGAGATCCTTTTTGCTGTTTTACCATTTTAAGTCTCTGTACTTGGCTACACACAGATTGTATTTTTATTGTTAATGCTCTTCTTATGGATACCTGCATTTAACTTGTGGACTATGTAAACACAATATATATCAATATCTATATATCTATATATCTATCTATATAAACTACTAGCTTTTCCTTTTGGTGTTTGCGCCTTCTTCCTATCCCAGCCTTAGACGGTGGTCACTGGGTGGGGATTAGAAATGCTTTGAGGGCATGCTGGTAAAGGAACGCAGATGGTGTCCTGTGTGTGGTTGAGCTTGGGGCAGATGGCCTGAGCTGGCCTGAAGCATGGACAGCACGGTCATTGGTGTGTGTTTCAGAAATTGGAAGTCTACCTGTTGATTTGGTGAAGTTAGTCCCAAGAACCTGTGGTTGTCATCACTGCTGTTTCCATAATTCTTCACTCAGGAACACTGCCAGAAATTGCTGGAAAAAGTCAGCCCCAGTCATAGCTACTGCTTCTTAGAAAGCAATGTAATCGGTAAGTGGCTATTATGTAGCCACTCAGCTATATGATAGTGACTCAGACACATTTACTGAACACTCACTGCATGCCAGACTATCTGAAGTGCTTTATGTGTATTAACATATCATTTGTTGCTAGTAGTTACTTGCATTTCATGGATGGGGGAAAGCAAGACAGAGGTTAAATCACTTGTCCCTAAGTCACAGGCTAGTAAATGGCAGGGGAGTTTAAGTCCAACCATCTGACTTCTGAGTTTTATTTACTGAGAGGTGGTTGAGAAAATTCAATGAGAAAATCCATGTCAAGTGTTCAGAATAATCTTTGGCATAGAGTGAGCACACAACCATTTTGAAGCATCCCAAGAGATGGGTTTTAGAATGGTGCTCTGTGGGAGGCATTTGGATTCATTAAGTAATCTTTTTTTTTTTTTTTTTTTTTTGACAGGCAGAGTTAGAGAGAGACAGAGAGAAAGGTCTTCCTTTTTCTGTTGGTTCGCCCCCCAAGTGGCCACTACGGCTGGCACGTTGCAGCCGGTGTGCTGTGCCGATCTGAACCCAGGAGCCAGGTGCGTCCTCCTGGTCTCCCATGTGGGTGCAGGGCCCAAGCACCTGGGCCATCCTCCACTGCACTCCTGCAGAGAGCTGGACTGGAAGAGGAACAACCGGGACAGAATCCGGCGCCCCGACTGGGACTAGAACCCGGTGTGCCGGTGCCGCAGGCGGAGGATTAGCCTGGTGAGCCGTGGCACCAGCCAATCATTTTCTTTTAAATGTGTTTTCCAGAACAAATATTTCAGCTTGTTTGGTAGGAGTTAGCCCTGATTTAGGGAGGGTCAGGTGAAATTATTATGAACAGCTTTGGATCTGCAGAGGTCAGAGAGGTGTCCACATTTCCCTGTTATGATATTGGAAGAGGTCCACATTCCTGGCATAGTTATTTTTCTGGCTACAGTTTAACTAGGGCACTTCCTCTGGACCTTAAGATCTATAATTATCTAAACTGTACACAGGCTTTGGTGCAGGCAAAGCAAAGCTCTGTGTTCATTCTGCACCATCACATAAGCTTTTTAGAAATGACCTCAGCTCTTGACTCATGCGTGATTTGGTAGCCATAGGAACTGCCAGAGTAGTCATTTTGCTGTAGCCTTCTGCTGCTATTGACTTGAGTTTTCCTATCTCTCTAGTTCTGCATTTTCCTCAGTGGTTGTTATTATCCTGTGTTAGCTCTGGGGAATAAATAAAAAAGATGAATTAACCCTCTTCTCTCAAACATGCTCTCGTTGGTGCTGTAGATCTTAATATTTCAGCCATATCTATGAACATATCCCCCTGATGTAGCTGGCTGCTATCTGTAATAGATTTTAAATGTCTGACAGTTTTGCTGGGGAACCTAGTTTAAGGGACTTGCATAGTCCTTAGAAAATGCCAGTGATGAGGAAAGGCTTCTACTGCTTGTGCGTCTGCAAAAGGTAAGCTAGGTTTTAGTAATCCTTAGGATAGCAGATATCTTCATTTTGGTTGTGGGAATAGATTCTCACAAAGTCAGCATTGCTGCTTCAGCGTCATAGTTATTCCTTGTTAGCTTGTAAGGGTCCTCTGCTTGGACAGCCGGAACTGACCTGAGCAGCCTCCCTCAGGAAAGGGGAGGCCATCAGAAGTCAGAGCCTGAGAACTTCACTCAGGTCTCTCTCTTAGATCACTGCATTCGCTAGAATGAAATGGAAAAAAAAAGCAGGAAAAGCCCAGTAAAGATAAAATTAATTTATTTGTCCTCACAACTTCCTGGGCCACACTTGGGGCCCCACAGTCCCAAACGTCCATCCTGCAGCAGTGGGCTATGGAGTCCAGTTCTCTGGAGTGCCTGCTCCCTTGTCCAGAGCTGCCTTGGGCTGGGCTGGGTCCCTCCTGACCCCATCATCCTGTTCCCACATGCAAGGGGTGCACAGGTCCACCTGCAGCCAGCTCGGGCCTGCAGCTGGCAGCAAGGATGACCTTGTGAATGGCTGCAGCACTAACACCTGCGGGCTGGAATGGGTGGGGGCTGGGAGAGGGAGAGCACACTGGAGGGTGTGGTTCAGTGCAGAGAGCTGCTGTTCTGCTCTTCAAAGGCCATCTTGCCCAGCAGCTGGCTGTCCAACTCCACCCCACTCACGGGTAGTTGGAAGAAGTTCATCTCAGCTGCTAAGGCTGCCATGGCCGAAGGATCTTGGCCAAACTGAGCTCGCAACATCATGTCCATTTTCTCCAGCCTCCTCTTGAGCCGCTTGGCCTCTCGCTCTCGGATGAGCCGGGCCTGCCGCTTCTCTGGGGTTTCATTAGCCCTCTTCAGCCTCATGGCCTCCCGATCCCGCTGCAGCCGGCGTGCCCGCTGCTCATCTGTCTCCTGCATGCGCTGCAGGCGCTTGGCCTCCCGGTCCCTCATGCGCCTCACCTCCCGCTCCTCAGGGGTCTCATTGTCCCGCCGGCTCTTCTTGGCCGTGCGCTCTCGTTCTAACCGCTGTAGCCGCACTTCCAAAGGCTCATTCTGTCGACGTAAGGCCCACTTGCGTACACTGGGGGTCTGAGCTTCCAGTAGCTTACGGTAGGCAGCACAGTTGTTGCACACAAGCAGAATTCCAGCAGGGTACACTGCAGGACTAAAGGCAATGTCTTTTCCCTCAGCACTGGAGGGACCCTCATTATGGGCTGGGGGTAGGGATTCCATATTAAGTACTTCAGGAAGCTTCTCACTGGAAAGCAAACATTATGGATGCTTAGTGTTTCCTTTTAGCAAGGTTCAGGTGTATCCAACCCTGATCTATTCTGTTTCTACTAGATCAGTTGCTCCGAGTTCACCACTAGGAGTCAGTGTGAATGCTTGGGAGGCCTCTCAGGGCTAGGGTGTCTACCAACTCTTAAAGCCCACCTAGAGTTACTGACTCAGCAAATTGCCACAGCAGCCCATCAGAAATCAGTGTGAAGTTTTCATTCCACACGAAATGAGGGTGTTTGTTACAGCTGTGCAGGGCAGCCCTGCTGTTGGAACGAAGGCTCCTGGAGGTGTGGGCTTCCTTCATGTACGATACAGCCACACTTCCTCCTCCTGGTACTGCCTGCAATACAAGGAAAACCTCTGCACTGTATACCAGACAGATGGCAAGAGGACACAATATTCAGAGTTCCCATTCTTCCTAGGACACAGTGGAGACTTAACGTCCTCACGTCAGGGTCCTCTCAGCACTCTGTAACTTCTCTTCTACATGCTTTTTCATGAATGTTGTTGGATTTCCCTATATCTCTTTCTAGTTACAACTACTATTCTGAAGGGAGAAGAAATGGGAATTCATTGTCCTTTGAGGATATGGAACAGAACAGGCACACACATTTCCTAGCCTTAACTTGTGTGTCCAGATGATCATGACTCAGTTGCCTTGCATTATCTTATCTCTAGCCTTCCCCTTGACTTGGAAAAGAACGCACACCCTGTAATTTATTCCCAGCAAAACAGGCTTAGGTGCCCAGCTAACCTGTTAAAAGTGGCATGGCTGGTGAAACGGGCTCCACACACAGCACAGTTAGACCGCTGGTCCTCTGAGTGGATTAGTAGGTGGCGACCCAATGACCCTGGGGAGCTAAGGGCTCTGCCACAGACAGGACACATGTAGCTCTTGGCACTCACCACTGCCGCAGTATGCTGTAAAACAGAGCCTTCATCTGTCAGTCTTGCACTGCCTCCAGGACAATCTGTACCCAATTAGAAATGACTTGCTGGACTTAACAACTATTCTCTGTGGTTAGCCCTGGAAAAGTCAATCTCCTGTGTTAGTGGGCCTGGCCATTCAGACCATTGCTCAGATTTCCTTTGCTTGAGTTCTGACCACATTCTGGAACACATGGCTGGCTTGAGGCACGTGAGGGTCTAGAGGCAGAGCCCTTTCAGACCCTGAGAGGAATTCACGCTCAGGATAACTTCCGTGTCTCCTGGCTCACACTATGCACTCACAAGTATACGTTACAGGAGTGCTGAAGGTTGGGAATACTGGCATACGAGAGGTATTTATGTTCTGCCTTTCCTCAATCTTTTTGAGATAGTCTTTTGAAGAAATACTTATTCTCATGAACCAACTATCTTTTTGGTACAATCCAGGCTGCCGTGTGTGCTGATGCTTTGTCAGTATGGATCACATGGCACAGGTGCCCTAGGATTGGGTCATGGTTAAAAAGAACATAGAAGTCTGTTATTCTGATCCCCTGTATACACTGTCACCAGTATTTCAGAAACATTTCTGTTAAGTAGTTTTTTTTCTTTTTTTTTAAAAAAAGATTTTTATTTATTTATTTGATAAGTAGAGTTATAGACAGTGAGAGAGACAGACAGAAAGGTCTTCCTTCTGTTGGTTCACTTCCCAAATGGCCGCCATGGCTGGAGCTAGGAGCCAGGAGCCAGGTGCTTCTTCCTGGTCTCCCATGCGGGTGCAGGCGCCCAAGCATTTGGGCCATCCTCCACTGCACTCCTGGGCCACAGGACTGGAAGAGGAGCAACTGGGACTAGAACCCGGTGTCCATATGGGATGCCAGCACCGCAGGTGGAGGATTAACCTAGTGCGCCACTGCGCTGGCCCCAAGTAGTTTTTTCTTTAAGTGGCAAAGAGAGAGAGAGAGAGATCTTGCATGTGCTGATTCACTCTCCAAATGACTGCAACAAACAGGACTAGACCAGGGTGAATCCAGGGGCCTGGAACTGCATCCATGTCTCCCATGTAGGAGGCAGGGGCCCGAGGACGAGAGCCATCATCTTCTGTCTCCCAGGATGCATTAGCAGGAAACTAAATGGGAAGCAGAGAAGTCAGGACTCAAACCAGCACTCTGATATATGATATGGTTGTTTCAAGCAGCCGCTTAACCTTTATGCCACTATGCCATCTCCTGATTTTTTTTTTCTTTAAAACAAGTACCCTGGGCGAGCACTTGGATTAGTGATTAAGACGTCTGCATCCCACATGGGAGTTCCTATAGGTTCAAAACCTGGATCTGCTCCTGACTCCAACTTCTAATTCAGACCCTGAGAGGCAGCAGTGATGATTCAAATAATTGGGCTCCTGCCACCCATGTGGGAAACCTGGATTTAGTTCTTGGCTCCCAGCTTTGCCCCAGCCAGTGGCATCGTAGGCATTTGGGGAGTGAACCAGCAGATAGGAGCTCACTCTTTGTGTTTGTCTATCTTTCTACCTCTCAAATAAATAAAAACAAATGTTAAAAAGGAGGATGGAGGGGGCCAGTGCTGTGGTACAGTAGGTTAATCCTTTGCCTATGGTGCCAGCATTCCATGTGGGCACCAATTCTAGTCCCAGATGCTCCTCTTCTGATCCAGCTCTTTGCTATCGCCCGGGAAAGCAGTGGAAGTGGAAGATGGCCCAAGCACTTGGGCCCCTGCATCCTCTTGGGAGACTTAGAGGAGGCTCCTGGCTCCTGGCTTTGGATTGGCCCAGCTCTGGCCGTTGTGGCCATCTGGGGAGTGAACCAGAGGAAGGAAGACCTTTGTATCTTCCTCTCACTGTCTAACTCTACCTGTCAAATAAATACATAAAATCTTTAAAAAAAAGTAGAATGGAGGCCGGCGCCGTGACTCAATAGGCTAATCCTCCACCTTGTGGCGCCGGCACACCGGGTTCTAGTCCCGGTTGGGGCGCCGGATTCTGTCCCGGTTGCCCCTCTTCCAGGCCAGCTCTCTGCTATGGCCAGGGAGTGCAGTGGAGGATGGCCCAGGTGCTTGGGCCCTGCACCCCATGGGAGACCAGGAAAAGCACCTGGATCCTGGCTTCTGCCATCGGATCAGCGCGGTGCGCCGGCTGCAGCGGCGGCCATTGGAGGGTGAACCAACGGCAAAAGGAAGACCTTTCTCTCTCTGTCTCTCTCTCTCTCACTGTCCACTCTGCCTGTCAAAAAAAAAAAAAAAAGTAGAATGGAAATGCAGTTTCTATTTCACAATTTAAAATATGCATTAATGCCTGGGAAGGCAGAAGATGATGGCTCAAGTAGTTAGGTCACTGCCACCCCTGTGGGAGAACTGGATGGAGTTCCTGACTCTTGGCTTTGGCCTGGTCCAGACCTGGCTTTTGCAGCAGTATGGGGAGTGAACCACTGGATGGGAAGTCTCTTTCTTTTTTTCTGTCTCTTCCTCTCTGTCATTCTGCGTTTCAGATATATAAAAGAAATCTTTAAAAATAATAAATATTCATTAAATAATTTAGAAAAAAAAAACCACAATAAAAATTTTTAGTTTTTCTTCCTGGGACCACAGAACAAATTTACCCAATATATCCTACTTATTCTCTAAAATGTTTTGAGGTTTGGAGTGGACTCTTAATGTAAGCAACAATCCATGATTCCTCTAGGAGCCAGAGGCCAAAGCAACGTCTGGGGATCTGGGCTACACACAGGCCACCGGGCTCACATTCCAGAGCATGCAGGTCCCCACGCCATACCTGGTACACGTGAGCGATCAGCTGCTCCCGACTCCCACAGTCCAGCTGGCAGAGGGGACACTGGCAGAGTTCAAGCAAGGGGTCAGAACTCAAATTTTCTGTGACCTGCAATTCAACAAATTGTCAACTCATTAGGATTCTTGACTGGTCTCTTCTCTGTTCCTGTCTCTTAACAGGGAATCCTGTTACCAGGAGCACAACCTGATATCACATTATTATTAGGTTTCCCACTGTGGGCCCAAGGAAAAAGTAATAGTTAAAAGGGAATTAAATTTGCTCCTGTGTTCATTTTTTTTTTTAATTTTTATTTATTTGAAAGATTTCCCATCCACTGGTTCACTCCCCAAATGCCCTCAATAGCCAGGGCTGAGCCAGATTGGGATCTCAATCTGGGTCTCCCACAAGAGGGCCAGGGACCCAATGACTTGAGCCATCACCTGCTGCCTCTCAGGGTACACATTAGTAGGAAGCTAGAACTGGATGTGGAGCCAGGACTCAAACCTAGGCACCCTAATATGGGATGTGGGTGTCCAAAGTGGTATCTTAACTGCTATTCCAAATGCTTCCCTTTCCCCATGTTCATTTTTTTCCAAAGCTTCCTGTCATGAAGTCACAGGATTGCCCCAGGGAGAGCTGCTGTATTTTATCTCCATAAAGTAAGTTCTTTAAAGAAAGAATTAGCTTCCCTCCTATCATGCTTAGTGAAGGAATCTTCAGGAAACCAGTTAGTGAGAAGATGGCACCTCAAGCAACACTAATTTAAATTTGTAGGCATATTCTAGAATATTCGTTGGGAAGCAAGCCCTTCATTTTGCAAAGGTAAATGTTATGTCTGGAAAGAAGTGGGCAGCTTCAGGAAGCAGAGCAGTACGTGAGCTACAGTGAGGGAAGGTGGAAAAGGGAAGCTGGGTGAAGACTGTGGCTGAGGTATAGGCTCTGGTGTTGTACAAGAAGGCGCTTCATCCGAGGCCATTACAGGCAAGACGGTGACACATGGGCGAGAAGCATCTGGGCAGGTAGAGGGGTGGGGCGTTCCCAGACTCAGGAGCCATTTGTCACTTGCCTCATGGTCTACCACTTCGTTCCCACCAACAGGCTGCTCTGCATTTTCTAACTCTTTTTCGACTTTGACCACCCCGCCATCTTCCTCTGATGTGTGGGAAGAGACTTCATCTTGTGTGGTCTCCTCTTCATCACCCTCACTGTCACCTGGAACACACAAACTGGTCATTGGTTCTGATTTTTGCAGAAACATATCCTGAGCTGCTATCCACCCTAGACTTTGCAACTATAATGAAAAGCATTTTCAGATCTTCCCTAATAGAATTTTATCAGTTCTTAGTTGGCAACAAAGCACGTGAAGAGGGAACCAGCTACAGCTGTTATTTATTATGCTAGATACATACTAAAGAAAATGTGAGCTAAACCTGCATTGGAAATAGTTATTGGGCCATCTATATTATCATATAAATAATCCTATATATGGTCCTCAAATATCTCACACTTCACATTGCAGCTCCCAAGCACCTCATGCCGAGCTCACCTCTGTGGCGCACTCCCTCGACTTGCCAACAGTCCTCACTGCTCTTATTACTTACTTTTCTCCATGATGCCACAATGACTGTTTAACTAATCTGTTCTTTTCCAGAAAACCCCAAGGCAGCCCCATAATGACAGCACCAGCAAGTTCCTCTTTCTTCTTAACAGTAAAGGAAGCAGTAATGAATTAGGTAAAAACGGTGTAACTTTAGAGGGAAAGGGCTGGTTTTTTGCAGTGGGAAAATTCCAACCAACCTCTGACAGTTTGTAGCAATAACCCCCTCACTCTGTTCTTACTCCACTTGTAGTAACACAGCATTCCAAGCTAAGTAAGTCCATTGTTTCTGTTGGTCCTTTGGATTATCTTATGGATAACAGATGCATTAAATGGAAGAAATGGGCCATTCTTCACTTTAGAATTCTTATATAATTTCTTATGACTATAGAGCACAGGATGTGGCTGTGGGGAGATCTGCCAGTGGCTGTTTTTTCTCTATTATTAAATAAAAAAAAGAAATAAAACAAAATAAAAAACCCAATATAACAAATGGAGTTCTTTCTGAAAGGAATAAAAGTTCCAGTACCTTGAAGATCAGAATCCTCTTCTGATCTTCCCCAAACCTGGGGAAGCTGTCAAACTCCAACTCTATCCTAGTCCCACCTACATCCTGGACTCCTAGGCCACCACGAGCAAGAGAGGAGTGTTGGGAGAGTCTCCCAGGCTCTCTGCACTGAGACTCAGGGTTCGTGGAGAACAATGCTGTTATCTTCTCTTCATGACCTCTTGCATAATTTCTCAGTACTAGTATCTGGGCAATACCTATTATGTTTCCTTTTTTCCTGGCACAACTGATTGCATTCACTTTCTTTATAAGAAAATATAACCAAATGATTGTATTAGATATCCCAGTCTGTTGGTGGACTGGATGTGGACCCTCGAAGATCTATGGTATATATGCCTTAGTCCCCAGCCCAAAGCATCCTTTCATTTGAATCCATTTCAATAATAAAGGACAGGTAAAGATTAAATTATACCAGGTTTTCCCATCAGCTCCCTACTGGAATACTTTAAGCTTTGTCTATGACAATCTTATATCAAACACATTTTTATAATTTATTAGTAATCTAAACATTTCTCCACAAGAATGGTTTTTGAAAAATAGATGTGCTGTCTAGGGGGCTGACATATCTTTTCCAGAAATGATGGAAACCTATTAGGCTTTTGTAGATGTTGCTAGTCTTACCTGGTACTCTGAAACTGGAGGCTCCCATAGGTTTTCTAGAAATTTAGGGGTTCACTATTCTGTACCTGAGTCATTAGTTGCCAAATTATTATTATTATTATTATTATTTTTTTTTTTTTTTGACAGGCAGAGTGGACAGTGAGAGAGAGAGACAGAGAGAAAGGTCTTCCTTTGCCGTTGGTTCACCCTCCAATGGCTGCTGCGGCCGGCGCGCTGCGGCCGGCGCACCGCGCTGATCCGATGGCAGGAGCCAGGAGCCAGGTGCTTTTCCTGGTCTCCCATGGGGTGCAGGGCCCAAGCACCTGGGCCATCCTCCACTGCACTCCCTGGCCACAGCAGAGAGCTGGCCTGGAAGAGGGGCAACCGGGACAGAATCCGGCGCCCCGACCGGGACTAGAACCCGGTGTGCCGGCGCCGCTAGGCGGAGGATTAGCCTAGTGAGCCGCGGCGCCGGCCAAATTATTATTTTGTTATTGCTTAACCATTTGGGTAGAAACTGTAGTTCTTAGATGGTTACAGAACTCTTTCCCTCTTTGCTCTCCCCCAGCCTCAAATTTGGAGAAAAATCAGATATGTCACTCTTATTTGACACTATAATAACCAATATCAAATAGCTGAGATCAGAAAAGTATGGAAATCTTCCGAGGAAATAAAACGTCTCAAAATGTGTATTTAGGCAGGTCACGGGAACAGATCATCCAGGAGACTCAACTTGTAAAAGCCTCTGTGTTTTGATTTTCTTTTCTTTTTTTAATTTTTGACAGGCAGAGTTAGTGAGAGAGACAGAGAGAAAGGTCTTCCTTCTGTTGGTTCCCCCCCAAAACGGCCGCTACGGCTGGTGCTGCTCTGATCCAAAGCCAGGAGCCAGGTGCTTCCTCCTGGTCTCCCATGCGGGTGCAGAGCCCAAACACTTGGGCCATCCTCCACTGCATTCCTGGGCCACAGCAGAGAGCTGGACAGGAAGAGGAACAACCAGGACAGAATCCGGCACCCCAACCGGAACTAGAACCCGGTTTTCCAGCGCCACAGGCGGAGGATTAGCCTAGTGACCTGTGGCGCCGGCCTGTGTTTTCATTTTCTTAACCACAGGGATCTAACTAGGACCTTGGAGCAGGAAAACCTCAACCTTAGCCCTGTATGTGTGGCATAATCGCATCACTAAACAAATCTTGTGTAACATTTTAACTGGGCCCTCAAGTAAAATCTGATCAAGGCTGTCCTTATGTTTCATTAATTATGAACAAATATGAGTAGATACCAGGAGACAGGGAGTTTTTCTTCTTGAGCATTAATTATTCCTCTGTTTCTATCACAACCATTATGAACCTGTGATTGGCACTGTGCCAAGTGCTGTACTCTATGCATTTATAAAACATAATGCCAAACCTGTCCTGTCTTTCTAGACAAGCACACACTCACACATCTTCACGTACCCTTGGGGACTGAGGACTCACATACCTCCTCCTTTACATCTTCCTCCCAACCCCCATGCATAATCCCCAGAGCACACACACTCTGATAATTCTTCTCCCATTGCCCTGAGTCATTACCAGAAGGTGCAGAACTCACTGCTACTGGAGTCCTGATCTCTTAGTTGTTGGATAGCTTGTCGCTGACTGCCAAGGTCTCCAGGAAAATCAGTTTTCATCATCGCCTGGCGGGCTTGCTCTTCTAGCCCAGCAAATACTTGATCCCCTGGTGGTCACAAGGAAAAATAGTCAGGCCACCAGCTGGGCAGCATGTTCCCAGGCAAGCTGGCTGGAAGGTCAGACCATTCAAAGGAGGAGACAGGCAGGTACCCGTGGTGGGTCACTCATCTCCGAGTCAGCCTGCTGCCTCCAACAGCTTCTGGGCACAGCTGCTCTTCTGGGCAGTAAGCCAGATGCTCCAGAAAGTATAGCCTGCTTCTTTTAAATCCTCATAGACTTGACTCTTTCAAAAGGTGATCAATGATACTTTACAGATTTACAGCATCTCAATTCCATTTACAACCTTGCATCAAGACTGGGGAGAGAGAGGCAAGAAGCAGCAAAGTCAAGAGAGGAAGATAGTGCACCCAATCTGAGCAGCTAAATGTGCTCACATTATGGCCCTGTGTCCATCTCTGACTGAAAACAAGTGTCTCCAATAATTCTTCTAGGCAGCACTCTCTCTAATTCTGTGTTCATCCACTCTCTTCCCAAGACTTGCTTTAGAAGTTGTTCCCTGAATTTCCAGTACTATCATAATTAGCATTAGACTAGAACAGGTAGTATATGAAGTAATTTCTGCTGAAGAATGACCTTTATGATTTACAACTAATTTACAACAAGTATTCTTCTAACTAATTTACAGCAGGTTATATTTATCTAGTCTTCTTGGTTCAGTGTAGTCTTTTTATTTGTATTCAGTATCCAAAGGCCCTGAACTTGTCCTTGATTTTGCATTTCATGAACTCTGGGATCCATGTGGTTGTTGAAGAGTTAACATTTAAGTGCTTTTTTATTTCCAGGAGACCAGACCATAAGAAGAAAAAGAGTTCAGTTTCTCTGGGTTTCCATTATCTCAGCCAGAGTGGAAACTACATTTCTCATTCCCCAGCCAGCAAAAGGGAATAATAAAAGCCCTGATGAAAAGTCTGACAATAGAACAGGCCCTGTACATAGGCTCAGGTTCCCAGACAGGATACAGTGATGTGGGAGGTATGAACTGATGAGGTCACCTGCACAACTAGTCCTCTGGGCAGTGAAAGAATCGATGTGAACTAGGCTTCGTGTGATTCATTCAGCAAACATTCACTGAGCATCTACAGTATGTTAAATTCTGAACACTAATAACAGTTACTATTTGACACTTGCTATTTCCAGGCTCTATATTTAAGTGCTTTATAGTCTTTGCCTTGCCTTTATTCTGTGAAAAACTTTTAGGTGGTAGATATTACTATCTGTATTTTATTGAAGAGGAAACTAAGTTCCATGTTGGAACCAAATATTCAAACCCAGGTCTGTCCAACTCTAATGTGTATTATTTTTTAACCAATTTCTAATAAAGATGTAAGTAGAAAGTTAAAAGGTTTATCCAGGTGTTTTTGCTGAAAACAAATGTTTGTATCTGTGTGAGAAGAATGGCTATGATCCAAGTGTTAGTGTTAACTTCATACCATGGGAAACTGATACATACAATTCAAATAGCAAAATAATATTCTCAGGGCCAGTATGTGACAAAAGCAAAAATGATGCTTCTGATACCATGTCATGAGTTAGCAAGCCTGGATTAGAGAAACTAACATTATAGCTATTATGACTCACACTGTGGGTGGAAATGGAGGTGGTTGGTATTAAAGTGTACTCTCAGTTATATGGCTCTCAAATAAAGGAAAAAATAAGCTCCTTTAAGTCAGTCTTCATAGTATCCAAAATACCAGGGCCAGCGCTGTGGTGCAGTAGGCTAAGCCTCCACCTGTGGCACTGTCATCCCCTATGGGCAGTGTTTCGTGTCCCGGCTGCTCCTCTTCCAATCTAGCTCTCTCCTATGGCCTGGGAAAGTAGTGGAAGATGGCCCAAGTCCTTGGGCCCCTGCACCGGCATGAGAGACCTGGAGGAAGCTCCTGGCTCCTGCCTTCAGATCAGCTCTGCTCCAGCCTTTGGTGGCCATTTGGGGAGTGAACAAGCAGAGGAAAGACTTTCCTCTCTGTAACTCTACCTCTCAATTAAATGAATAAATCTTAAAAAGAAAAAAGAAAGAAACCATCTTCCCCCCATCCCCCCCCCCAAAAAAAAAAAGGTGGGGCTTTGGGTATGATCTTTCAAACAATATGCAAGATACCACATTGGATATGAATTACTTGTTAGAGAAAGTAAAAAAATGAATTCTGCGTTAGATTGTTTCCTCTTCCCTCTCTGTGGAAGTAAAATACTTAATTTTTCCATGTTAATTTCCTTGCAACCACAAGATTGTGTCCAACTGGAATAGTTACTGAATTCCTCTGGGTAGGTGCATGTTTTCAGATGTAGAAGCCAGGGGCAGACACGGCACTACAGCACAGGTTACATACTAGAATATCATCCTCAAGGGTCAGACCATTCTTGTCACTGACACTTCAGGTCTCTAAAGAATCCAAGCTAGAAGCCAGCTAAGTATGTAACCAAGAATAAGCAATAAACTTTTTTTTAACAGAAATACCATTCAATTGGTAGAAAGACATTTAAAAGGACAAAGACCTTTGACAATGAGCCAGTGACCCAGTTTAATTTTCATGAATTTGAACTCGTTTTTTTTTTATGTATTAAATATAGAACATTAAATTTTTTTTTAGAATTTTCCTTTTATTTGAAAAGCACAGAGACAGAGACATGGAGAGAGAGAGAGATCTTTCATCCACTGGTTCACTCCCCAAATGCTTGCAACAACTGGAGCTGGGCCAGGTAAAAGCAAGGAGCCTGAAACTCAATCTGTGTCTCCCACATGGTTGCCAGGGACCCAAGTACTTGAACCATAACCTGCTTTCCTCCCAAGGTGCGTGTTAATAGGAAGCTGGATGGGAAGCGGAGGTCAGAACTTGAACCAGGCACTCCGATATGGGATGCAGGCATCCCCAGTAGCAACTTAACTGCTGCAATATATACACTCCTCTTCATTTTCTTTTTCTTTTAAGATTTATTTATTTATTCAAAAGTCAGAGTTACACAGAGAGAGGAGAGGAGAGGCAGAGAGAGAGAGAGGTCTTCCATCCAATGGTTCACTCCCCAGTTGGCCACGACAGCCGGAGCTGCGCCGATCCGAAGCCAGGAGCCCGGAGACTGTTCCAGGTCTCTTACACAGATGCAGGGGCCCAAGGATTTGGGCCATCCTCCACTGCTTTCCCAGGCCAAGCGGACAGCTGGATTGGAAGTAGAGCAGCCGGGACTCAAACCAGCGCACATATGGGATGTCAGCACTGCGGGCAGCGGCTTTACCCGCTACACCACAGTGCCGGCCCATCCTATTCATTTTCAATTGATTTGAAAGGCAGAGAGACAGACACAGATAGACAGATTTGTCTGTTTACTCCCTAAATGCCCCCAACATCCAGGGCTGTGCATTATCAGGAAGGTGTATCAGAAGTGAGAGCAGGGCTTGAACCCAGAGACTGCAACAGGAGAGCAGTGTCCCAAATGCTGTGCCAAACCTACTCCCCAAATTTATTTTTGTCTATTGATATTTTCTAAATATTTAGGCCTTCACAGAACAGAGTCTATTTAATACAACTTACCTAAGATTCTTGCTAGCAGTCTTGCCTAGGATAATTAGAATAAATTAATTTTGTCATTCCTTTTTTTGGTAGTTTGAAATTAAGTGCTGTGCTCTTATATTTTATTCTATTCTTGACTGGGAGAAAAAGGCTTAAGTAAATTTTATTCCTTAAGAATATTCCTATAGGGGCTGGCGCTGTGGCGCAGTGGGTTGAAGCCCCAGCCTGCCAGGGTCAGCATCTCATATAGGCACTGGTTCGAGTCCTGGCTGCTCCTCTTCCGATCCAGCTCTCTGCTATGGCCTGGGAAAGCAGTAGAAGATGGCCCAACTCCTTGGGCTGCTGCACCCATGTTGGAGACCTGAAAGAAGCTCCTGGCTCCTGGGTTCTGGCTTCAGCTCAGCTCAGCTCTGGCCGTTGGAGTCATTTGGGGAGTGAACCAGTGGAATGGAAGACCTCTCTCTCTCTCTGGCTCTACCTCCCTCTGTAACTCTTTCAAATAAATAAATTAAAAAAAGAATGTTCCTATTTAAACAGTACCACAAAGCAAAATATATAACAACCTTTTAAAAAAAATTTTAGCAGAACATATAAGAACATATGCGAATGATCTTCTAGTAGTCACTGTTTACCTAATCTCCAAATCCAGTTGTCCAGAATTATCCTTTCATAAAAGGCAGTGAGACTTGCTATAAGTATGTCATGTCAATTCAAGTATAATGTAATCCAGAGAGATAGTAATGATTAAGAAGTGTTACTGAATTGCCTGTTTTCATAATGTGGAACTGTTTCTTTCTTGAGACTGTTATAGGTTTAAAAAAAAAATCCTCTGGTCCCAGAATTAATGTAGCACAACCATCTTTTTGATTTTGAGTAGTTGTCTGTCAATGGTTGAGAAGAGTCTTGTAGGCGTCACAATAAAAAAACAAGGTGCTACCTCATGTGTTTTTGTAGAAAATCAAAATACTGTTTGTCTCAGATTTGGCTAAGATGTTTCAGACAGCATAAGAACAAGGCCATGTGAGTAAGTCTGGAGAATAGAGAAGAAGACCGGAATGACAGATTTCACAGTTCTTCTTCTGGGGTCCCTGTTGCAGCTAAATAAATGCAATTTCAAGCTGACTGAAATTAAGTGAGGCAGATGAACTATATTCCCTAAGAGAGCAGATGTCAAGTTCAGAAGAAACAACTAGTCATGGGAAGGAGGAGCTCAGGTTTCCACTCAGCTAACCCAAGGTGGTATCACATGTTGGGAACACAGCCATTTGCCTCAGGAGGATGAGAACAGAATCAATGAAGGCAAAAAAGTTACACTTTTTAAGAACAGAGGGGACTCCAAAGGCTTTCATTCCTGCTTCTCTATGAAAAGCTTTTAGTTGAAATTGAAGGTTTTTAGTCTCTTATGTATTTTGCAATCTGAGACTAAAAGTCTTAGGAAAAACAAATTTTCCCTTTTTTAGTGGTTTAGTTGGTTCAAACACAGGCAAGTGTGCAAGGGACTGTCTTTTCAACCTCTACACAGAAACTTGTGCTCAAGTGGGTGAGATGGGGAGGGAAGGAAACCGGGGAGAATCAGAGAATCAGCCCCTCAGCGCTTCTCCGTAACTAACAGTTCTGGCTTCACTCCAAAAGCTGCACGTCAAGTTACTAATGAAGGGAGGCAGGCAAAACACGGGGTCTGCCGCATGTTTAGGAGGAAAGGACTGTGCCAGTAGTTGAGACGTAAGAGTCCTGAGGAAAACCAAGTAGACGCCTCGGCAGCCTGCCCAGTGGCTTCCAGGTTGGAATGAACAAATGCTCCTGCGCTACCGCAGTGGGATTCCAACATGGCCTTTCAGGAGTGCTTCTAGCTTCATGCCACAAGGTCTAGGTTTGCACAGAAGGCAGATCTAATGAAGCTCAGCCATTATTCCGCTCAAGTGCTGATTGGCTTTGACATCTGTGCAAAGCCAGATGTAGACTTTCCTGCCTCCCATACCTGAGTCCATTTCATATTCTTTAAATAAGCAGCATCACATTCAATATATTTCACTGCAAGGTGAGTGGAGAATCAAGAAGTCAGAAAACTAAAATTATCTATTTCTACTCATCACTGCCATGGGCAAGAAGATGATCTTTCAAAACGGGCAGGGTCAGCTTCATTCCCAAATAATAAATAAAACAAGGTCCTCAGCAAACAGCACATCTCAGTGCATTTGCTTCCTTAGTCCTGCTGAGTCCATCAGCTGAGAAGCCTTCCAGAGGCATCACTGCAAACGGCCACTCCTTAGCGGTCTGCTTTGTAGGTGCAGCTAAACCTCGGTATTCATAGCCCCAAAATAAAGGACCTCCTCATCACCACTGAAGACACTACAAAGTCCCATCCAGTCTACCACAATACAGCTTTTACTTGCTTGGCTCTGGTAACTGCATTGTGCAACTGTGAAGGTGTGATACTTTCCACTCCTCTGGGGCCTGTCTGTCCATCTGTTTTCCAGCTCCGACACCAGCTCATCTTGGCTTTGCCTCACTATGGTAGGAGGAGATGCAGCTGATGGATACATGTGGTGTGACGCAAACACAGACCACCCAAACCTTTACTGGCTTCTCTGGCCTTACCACAGTCATGCCATCATTACAGCAGATGTTTTCCTCGAATCTAACCAATCTCTTGGGACAGGAGGTTTTGGCAAACACTCAACTCCTAAAATTGCCTTATTTATGAAGCCATCATCTCTAAGAGTATCTTTCCTGCCCTGCCTTCTTGGGGTCACATTTGTGTCTTCTATCAGTCAACACTCATCTTCAGCTAGAGCTGAGAAGACAATCTCTCTGACCCCTGTGTTGGAGGGCCTGTGCTAGAGAAACTCATTTATCTCCCTTGACAATCCTCACATTCAGGCCCACTGCATTTTACTGTTTCTACATCCTTCCTAAGCCACTCATCTTTACAATAAATAGCTCAGACATGCACCTGTTCCAGAACACACTCTTGAAAGCATTCAACAGTTCTATTTCAGGCAACTTACCCAGGACTTAGAAGAATGAATTGTAAATGGGAGTTTGCTACCCTAGTTTTGTTCATCTGTAAGATGTCAAAGTTCCCTTAATTCTTCCATTAAAACCATTTTGTCTCATACTCTTGAAATTATCCAAAAAGTAAGATGAAGTACATAGTGCCTGACATATCACATGTTTTTAAATAATTTTTAGTTCTCCTGTCTTCTTGCCTAATTTATCTTATCAAATTTCAGGGTTTTTTTTGTTTGTTTGTTTGTTTTTTTACTTTAAAAAAAATCTTTTCATATGTTACAGCTCTGAATTTCGTTCAAACACTGGTGTCCTTACTCAGTCCATCATAATCAAAGGGAGCTATTTGTCCCTTCAATCACTATTTGGGTGAGCACGCCCATCTCCCTGGATCACAGGAAAATGGCAAAGCATTTTAAACGTGTGCAACACTACCACTGATTTAGTAAGTACTTTTTGAATGCTCTCTATGAGCACTGCTAAAGTAAAGAGGAACTATACATACTCAACATTTCTGTCCTCTAGAAGTTTACAATCCAGTTAATGAAATATAAATATGAAACTGTTGTGAAACAGTGCAAGGCAACCCTGCAAGGCACACCTGGTCTTCCTGTTTCTAGTCTCTCCCTCACTCCCACACACTTCTTCATTGTAGCAAAACACTGCATTCTGAATGTCACTCAGTTCTGCCTGCTTAAAAACCATTAGGAGCTCCCACCAGTCTACAGAGTGAAATTTGAACTTGGCCTGAATGTCAGGCCTCCATAATTTAGTTAAACTTCTAACTTTATGTTCTATGACTTCTGGACAAATGAATGTCTGCCTCAAACTAAGTCTCTCCATCCTCTGAACATGATAGTTCCCTCCTGGATATTTGCTCACTCAGTTTTTCCTACTCCACTTTCCCTCTCATTTCTTTTTTTTCTTTTTCTTTTCTTTTTTTTTTTTTCAAATCCACTTTCTCACCTCCTAAGGCCCAGTTCAGGTTCATGGTCTAGGTCCTCTACTGTCACTCTCTCACTATCTCAGTCCACAGGGATCTTTTATCTTCTCTCCTCTTCCGTGGTACACACAGTCCGCAGCACTTCTATTTGGCACTTTGCATATATTATCTTGTATTTTCAAATACTTAAGTTATATATGTTACAGTCTTGTGTATCTTATATTGTTTTACAGCCCTGACATTTAGCATAAGGATTTGCGCAGAGCAGGCTACCTATAATTGTTAATATGGATATTAAGTATGAATCAAATGTACACACACCTAAGAGGTTCCTAACACCTCCTTCAGCAACCAGACACACTTTAAACCATCAAGAGTCTTTTTTCCTCACAAACTAGTGAGAGTGCAAGTTACTCTTCCAACCCTCAACATTCCCAAGTCCCAGAAGACAAAGCCCAATACTCACAGTGAACTTTATTTGGATTAGTCTGTTTCCGACGGGACATGTTTCTCTGATATGAGAATTCTGGCCTTTCCCAGTTTCACGACTGCATGTGTTACTATTTCTTTGCAAGGTGCTAGCCTACAATAAAAAGGATATTATTATCATATGCCATTTCCCCCAGAAATTATGCAAAATTAAAAAGACTTTGAAAAATAGCTCCAGAGCATATAAAACTCACCAGTTATAAATAATTGAACTACCAAAAGAAATGAATAAATCTCTAATACAATGTCACAAGAAGTTAAAGAGAAGACTCCTTCAGAGGATTAGGGAATTCCACTCAGAATCCAATTGTAGAATCCATTCTGTTAAGTGATCATGATCAAGGTCACAGGAAAACAGAGGAAACAAAATTCAGGCAACCAAGCCTAACCAAGGTTAAAAGTGCGGCAGACTCAAAGGAATAATCCCATGAGTTGTAAGAGAAGCAAAGGGAAGTCAAAGAATGGCAGCTCACATTGCACACGCTCTGTAATCTGCACCAACGGGAGCCTCAGACATTTTGCTAAGAAGTTGTTTGGCAGCAAAGTCATCATATCCCTGTGAGACAGGCAGTGTCACAAAACTCTTAGGCGTCTATAAATTAAAGCAGTGTGGGAAACAGAGCCTGTACCTGGTGACAAGACACAGTGGTGGGCACTGTGGATGACAGGGTACAGAAGCAAATCAAAGTGCCAGGGTTGGAGATGGACCCTCACAAGAGCCAGCTGACATCCATGTTACTGAGTGCTAGCCCAGCACCTCAGGGGGAACACCAGTCCGCCCTGCTCACACGCGCTGGAGAAGGGGTCAGAGTCGGTAACTTCGGAGCTGTTTCTTAACCCAGCCTCTGGGGAGCAGAGAGCAGTGGGAGGAACGGGAAGAAACGCTCCCTAAACAAGAAGCGCTGCAGAGACTGTCTGCGCCCCGACAGAGGAGGGGACACACACTGGAGCCTGGAAGTTCCTGGTTAACTGCAGGAAAACTGTCCAGCCACAAGCACTGTGAGAGGATTTCAAATCAATGGGTTAGTAGCAGAAGCTGTGACATTTTCTTTAAAAGATGGGGTGAATCAACAGATACAAAGAGATGAATTCTTTCCTACCAAAGACGGAATATGGATGGGAGGGTTTCTGCCCTCTCAAATTGTACTCACATTGAATTAGCAAAACTCATTTATTTCCTTAAGAGGAGTTATGAGAAGTGACTACTGGCTGCATGTAGTTTGCACTCTGGTTAATGGACCCACCTCCTGTTTTGCCCACTGACTCCTCTATGTAGCTAGAAAGGACCTCAAGCCTGTAATCAGATCCTGCCTTCCCTTACCAAAAGAAGAAAGAAACCACAAATGGCAAAGACAGGCCTCCACAGGAAGTGGCAAAGGAAGCAGCTTTCAGGCAGTCTTCTATCACATCTGCATATCAAGCACAGTTCTCTTTCAGACCTTTAATTAAAAATAAAGAAAGAAACTCCAAATGTATGCAGTAAAAGAACATTTTAATGACTCAGGGAGCAGTATACTGCATGCTAATACTAGTGGTGTATGTTCTAAGATTTGTTTCTGTTTCCAATCACGCAGTTATTTTATTAATGGAAGCAGAGAGCGAGTATCACACTCGCCATCTTTTCCTCTGTGTCTCTGGAACCACCAAGTGGGAAGCTGAATGAAATGCCAGTTGACTATCAATTACTCTGAAAATACACCTCCCTATCGTATAAAGAAAAAACGGAATCTTGACTAATGTTTACATTTTCTCTCCATCAAGATCAGAAATCGAAACTGTGCCATCAAGTCCCTTCTGAAGGAAGGCCCAGTGGGTTGAGCCTGGCTCTGTGCAGCAGTTCCAGGCTAAAGCTACCAGGCGGAAGACAGCATCTGCATATTGAAATGGGCAGTGTCCACGGCCTCTCACGAGCCTCCTAGTGGCCGAAGGGGGAACTGACCAGGTGGTACCCCATGGGACGTCACACCTGAGGGATGGGGGAAACAAGCAAACACCCTCCCCTCTCGCAAAGCAAGAGCAATAACAAAACACCCCTAACTCACACCCCCACCACAGGGACTGGCGTTATGGACTCTCGAAAATAAATAAGGAATAAACAGCCCCGAAAGGGCACTCCTGACCCCACAGCCGGGTCTCGGGGATGCGGTGCCGCTCATACAACCGACAGCCACGCTGCCCCAAAGGTCGTTCGTCCCGCGTCACTTTCACACGGCCACATCTAAGACGAACCCCAGTTCACGGGCAGCTGCCCGAACATCACCACCCAGAAGGCAGATGGGATGGAGAAGGGCAAACCGGCTGCAGGGCTCCGGGGGGTTTCCGCTGGCGAGGGAAGGCGGCTTTGTCCGTGCCGCCCTCGGCCGCGGCCTCGCCTCCCCCGGCCCCGACGCTGCTCTCCCCCAGGCGCGACCCCAGCTCTAGCAGACGAGGGTGCACTCCCACCTCCAGCTCTGCGGCAGTTCCCACGGAGCGCAGCCGACTCGCCCGGATCCAAGCGGCGCGTATCTGCCCAAAGAGGAGGACAAGGCGCTGGTCAGGCCCGAGCGGTCCGCACAGGTACGTCTCGCGACTGCCTGGCCCCGAGCCCGAGGGGGCCCGCGGCGCCCGCACAAGCCCTCAGACCACGCAGGCTCGGCTGAATCCTAAATTTAGAAGCCGTCCTGCGAGACGCGAATCGGGCGCCGCTGCCCCCGGCCGCACTCCCACGCCCAGCCTCCCTCCCGCAGCTCCACCCCGGCCTGTCACTCGCAGCGCGGCCGCCCGAGCCGGCCCGGCCCGCCAGGCCCGTGGCCCGGACCCCGCGGGAGGGACCCCTGGGGGGCCGGCGCGGAGGGAGGGGTGCGCCACGGCCGCCCCCGCCCCCTCCCCGCACACAGACAAAAGGACCGGCTGTCGGCGGCCCCGGGCGGGCCGGGGGCCCCGCATCCTCAGGCCGGCCGCCGAGGCAGGACTCGGCAGTGTCTTTACCCGGCGCCTCGGCGCTCCGCTGCGCTCCGGGGCCCTGGGCCCCGCCTCCGGACAGACGGACCGCCGGACAATGGGCCCCGGATCGCGGCTCGGGCCGGCTGGGCCGGAGCTCTCCAGGACCGGGCCCCGGAGGACGGAGGACGGCTCCGGGCCGAGCCGGTGGCGGGGAGCCGAGGGGCGGCGCTGCAGACGGACAAAGCCAACGGCAGACAGACGGACGGAGGGGGAAAAAGATGGCGACACGGGCGGCGGGAGCGCGCTGCTCGCGCACCCGCAGCGAGCGGGGCGCGTGCACGAGCGCCTCCCCTCCCCCCGCGGCCGGTCCCCCCTCCCCGCTCCCCGGGCGCGCGCCGGGCGCCGTGGGCGGGGCTTGGAGGGCGAGGGTCCTGGGAGGCGGGACTTCAGGGAGCATCCAATGCCGGGCGTCGGGGTGGGGGGGTGTCGCCTGAGTCCGCGGCCCGCGAGACCCCGGAGCCCCGCGTCCCCCGGGCCGTCCCTCTGCGGCCCTGTCAGCCCTTCGACACCCCACCCTGTCAGCTGCGAGCCTGGTTTCCCACACCCCCCATCCAGTTCAGCCACAAAACCCACATCCCCCGGCCGCAGGCGCACCGCGGGCTCCCCCTCCCGCGGCCGGCGTCGGCCGGGTCCCGCCGGCAGCACAGGTCCTCAGCGCGGCGCGAGGCGGCCGCGGCCGGGGCGAGGCCCTGAAGGGGACCCTCAGGTGTCTTTCGGGTGTCGGCTTCTCAGCCCGGAGAGCGTCTGCACTCAGGGCTGGACGGCCTGCAGCGGCTGCCGCTTAACGGGCACGGGGGCAAGTGGCGGCGGCTGGGCTCCGCCTGCCGGGAAAGCACCTGCCGCCGCCGCCTCCCTGCGGCCCGCTCGCCGGTCTCCCCGCGGCTCCCGCGGCAGAGGTGAGGTGCGGGCAGGGGGAGCCTGGCTCTGCCGCTGACCAGCCCGCGACTTGAGTCTCTGTTTCCTAAAATGTAATTCCTGGCCTCCGCTCCCACAGAGCTGTTGTGCCGTTTAAAAAGTAAGAGAGTTTCTGGAAGTATTACGCAAATATTCATGATGATTCCTGGCCCCGCAGGACACAGAGCTACTGAGGGCGCTGACGCTCGCTGATAAAGTGTCAGGCCCTGGTATTTGCATAAAGCATTAAAAAAAAAGATTTTATTTATTTGAGAGGCAGAAAGAGAGACAGAGTAACCTTCCATCCGCTGGCTCACGCCCTAAATGGCTGCTGCCCTGGAGGCTGGGCCAGGCCAAAGCCAGGAGCCAGGAAGTCCATCCAGGTCTCCCGCGAGCGCGCAGGAGCCCAGTCACCCGAGCCATCCTCTGCTGCTGTCCCAGGCGCCCAGCAGGAGGACGCTGGACGGCTAGGGGAGCAGCCGCGGCTGGAGCTGGCGCCCAGGAGGGATGCCCTGGTCACAGGCAGCAGCTTAACTTGCTCAGCCACTTCGCTGGCCGCTGCGGAGAGCATTCTCGCCTTATCTTTCCTCCAAATCTCCAAGGCTATGACGTGATTGTGTCTTATGTTTAATGTGATAGGAAGGCTGTATTGCAGGATCTTTCACAATTGTGGCAAATAGTTCTACACGTTCACTCATTTGTGCATTTATTTATTATGACTGGAGTATTTAGATAGTAATTATTAACTTCAGTCAAGGACACATTTTAATTTCATTTTTAAGTAACCAGAAAATGGATGGTTTCATTCAACCAGCAAATTTTTACGCTATTTTACAGAAGAAAAACTGCGGGGCCACTGCTGTGATGTAGCAGTAAAGCTGCCTTCTGTTGTGCAAGCTCCCCATATGGGTGCCAGTTCAAGTCCCGGCTGCTCCACTTCTGATCCAGCTCCCTGCTAATGTGCCTCCGAAGGCAGTGGAGGATGGCTCAAGTGGTTGAAACCCTGCACCTACATGGGAGACCCAGATGAAGCTCCTGGCTCTTGACTTTGGCCTGTTTGGGGAGTAAACCAGTGGATGGAAGACCTCTATTTCTCTCTCTCTCTCTCTCTCTCTCTCTCTCTCTCGCTTCCCTCTCTCACTGTAACTCTTTCAAATAAATAAATCTTTAAAAAAAAAAAAACAACAAGCTGTAAAAACAGTGAATGTAACTTTTAAGTACTTAAGCAGTAATTCTTGATTTGTTTAGACTGAGGGATACAAATATGGGTTTATTATGCCAGGTTAGTTGACATTTTCAGCAGGCAAAGTTAGCCTGCAGTGAAATTTCTTGGATCCTTTATTAAGTTACTGCATAAAGCTAGGAAGCTTGTTCCATTTCCTGGAGTTTAAATAAAATGAGACTATAAGCATGGGGTTCTTATAACCTACCTGTGCTCCAGCAATGACTATGAAGTATTGTTGCTCAGGGTTATAATTGAATAGAGGAAAACAGTAAAATAAGTGTTGTATCCACTCGTTAGCTAAAACAAAATGTTAAAAAGCTATTGACAGTCACACATGAAATTTATTGAAAATGAGAAGCAAATGAGAGGCAAGGTAACTGATCGGGACCAGCCACCAATCAGGACCAACACTCCTTACCAGAGTGCGGCCCCCAACAGCGGGTTACATAGCTTTTTATAGTATTCTGTCCACTAGGGTTCACAGTTTCGAACTGGGCCCCTGGTATGCAGTGAACAATAAAGAGGAAAACCAGAATATGGTTGTAAGATAACAGTTAACAATAACAAACCTAGTAACAGATCCAAGATATGGTCGTAAGAAATGTGAGGGACACATTTCGGTCAACCTAGTTCCTAGGAATTTGGGCCCACATAGTTTCACAAGATACACCCTTAGACATTAGCAAGCAAAGCTAATATGTACTGAAGCAAGAGATCTGCAATTAGCTTTTAGCCACACTCACTGCATTTTAATTCTGATTTTACATAATGAATTAGCTTATTTTTCCTTTGCTATTTGCCTAAATTTGTTCTAAATCTAAAAGACTTTAATTTTAAAAAATCAGTTTTTTTCTGCTTCACTTAATTTTTTAAAGATTTATTTACTTATTTGAAAGTCAGAGTTACACACAGAGAGAAGGAGAGGCAGTGAAAGAGGGAGAGAGAGAGAGAGAGGTCTTCCATCTGCTGATTCACTCCCCAAATGGCTGCAGCAGCCAGAGCTGCACCGATTTGAAGCCAGGAGCCAGGAGCTTCTTCTGGGTCTCCCACGTGGGTGTGGAGGCCAAGGACTTGGGCCATCTTCTACTGCTTTCCCAGGCCATAGCAGAGAGCTGGATTGGAAGTAGAGCAGCAGGGTCTTGAACTGGCGTCCATATGGGATGCCAGCACTTCAGGTGGCGGCTTTACCCGGCCACAATGCTGGCCCCTCCGCTTCACTTTAAAAAAAAAATTATTTATTTTAGAGACAGAGAATGAGATAGTTGATTCATCCTGAAATGCCCAGAGTGGCAGCTGGGAACTCAATCCAGATCTCCTACATGAATGGCAGGCACATTGGCAGGAAGCTGGATTTGGAGGTGGAGCTTGAACTTGAACTCAGACACTACAATACGGGAAGCAGACACCCCAAGCAACATCTTAATTGCTGCTAAAATGCCTGCCCTTTTGTGTTCAGTTTTTGTGTGAGCTTCTGTTTCAGTTTGCCAGGGTATATACGTACACCTACCAGTGGAACTGCAGCCTCACATGGTAACTCCGAGTAACTTTTTGAGGAACTGCCAAACTGTTTTCCAAAGTGACTGCAACATTTTATAGTCCTGTTACAAAGTATTATGGTTTAAATTTCTCTGCTTTCTGATTAACATTTGTTGTTTTCCATCTTTTTCATTATAACCATCCGAGTGGATGTAGTCATATCTTGCTGGGGTTTTTATTTGCATTTCCCTAATGACTAAGGGCGTTGGACATTTTAAATGTGCTTATTCTTATTTTTTAAATGTTAATTTATATTTTAAAGGCATAGAGAGAGAGACAGAGATCTTCCATCTGCTGGTCCACTCCTCAAATGCCTGCTGAGCCAGGTAGAAGCCAGGGGCCTTGGAATTCAATCTTGGTCTCCCATGTGAATGGCAAGGACCCAATGACCCGATCATGTGTTTGTTATTGGTCCTTTGGAGAATGTTCAAATGCATGCCTGTTCTAAAATTGGGCTTTTAAAAAATATTTATTTATTTCAAGGGCAGAGAGACAGAGAATCAGAGAGACAGAGAGATCAATTTTCCTCTCTCCAAATGCCCACAGCAGCCTGGGTTGGGCTGAAGCCAGGAACTCCGTCTGGGTCTCCTACATGTGTGACAGGTACTCAAGTACTTGGGCAGTCATACTCTGCTTCTCAGGCACATTATCAGGAAGCTGGGTCAGAAGCCAGGGCTTAAACTAGTCACTCTAACATGGGGTGCAGTGTTGCGAGCAGTGGCTCAACCTTCTCTGCTACAGCATCTGCCCCATTCGTGTTTGTATTATTGTGTTCTGTATTTTTAAATGTATTTCGGATAATAGAGCTTTATCAGATACGTGATTTGCAAACATTGCTTCTAATCTGTGGACTGTCATTTTCTTGATAGTGTCCTTGAAGCACCAAGGATTTTGATTAGTATAAATCTATTTTTCTTTGGTTGCTTGTGATTTGGGTGCCATATATGAGTGCTGTTATCTAATTATGAGCATTTACACCTATGCTTTCTTAAAGTAGTTTGTAGGTCTGACTCTTAAATATGCATCTTTGATCCATTTTTAAGTCAGTTTTGTGTGTGGTGTGAGGTAAGGAGGGAGTGATCAGATTTCCTTCTTTCGCATGTTTGTCCAGTTTTCCCAGAACCACTTGTTGAAACTCTTCTTCCCCTCACTACATTGTCTTAGAACCCTTGCTGAAGATCTATTGGCCATAATGTATGGGTTTATTTCTGGGTTCTCAATTCTGTTTCATTGACCTTGTCTATCCTTATGCCACTATTGTATGGTCTTCTACTTCTATTTCTTCTTCCTTTTTTTTTTTTTTTAAAGGTTTTTTATTTAGTTGAAAGGAAGAGTTACTGGTGGGGGTAAAGGGGAGAGAGGTATTGAGATCTTCAACCTGCTGGTCCACTCCCCAAATGCTTGCTGGGATGCGCTGAAGCCAGGAGCCAGCAGTTTCTTTTAGGTCTCCCAGGTGCGTGCAAGGACCCAAGGAGTTGG